GTCCTAGATGTGGAAAATGTCTTTCCTTTATAAATGCTGTAATACAAGTATAAATTGCCAAAGTTCATTATGGATTATTTTATTTCAGTTTTGGCATCTGTCCTCATATGACAGAAGACAATAAAGATTTGATACAGGGCAAGGACTTACTTATAGCTTACTACGATGTGGACTATGAAAAGAATGCTAAAGGTTCTAACTACTGGAGAAACAGGTAATAAGAATCTTTTTTGCTGTTGTTGTAAACAAGTTTATCCAATGTAGTAGCAGTTCCTTTTAATTATCCTGTTACTATATATAATGTAAGGGCAGGTAAGAGAACATTTAGCTGCAACACCTCATCTGAAACGAAGGATAAATAACATAAGCTGTTTCTAAAATTGATTGGGTGTGTTAACTTTCAAATCAGTTATTCTACCTGTGAGACATTCTTTATAAAACATATATAAGATGGCAGGATTCAGTGAGAATGGACTATTTCACTAGATACCACCAATTTGGCAGTGAAGCTTAGTGAGACAGGGAAGTAGACAATACCTCTATACCTGTGATTTCAGAGAGCTGTGTGGACCAGAGAGCTTAGTCTTTACTTTCTAACTTCTTGATTTTAAAAAAATGCTTTTCTACCCCGATAGTTTTGACCCAAATATCTTATTTCCCACAGAGTGATGATGGTGGCAAAGAAATTCCTGGATGCTGGACACAAACTCAACTTTGCTGTGGCTAGCCGCAAAACCTTCAGCCACGAGCTGTCTGATTTTGGCTTGGAGAGCACTGCTGGAGAGATTCCTGTTGTTGCTATCAGAACTGCTAAAGGAGAGAAGTTTGTCATGCAAGAGGAGTTCTCGTGAGTTGCTAGTTAACATGGGTTCAGGATTTGAGACTGCAGAGAAATAAAAGCCTTTTATGGGGCTGGGGATTTAGCTCAGCGGCATAAGCGCCTTCCTTGCAAGTGTGTGGTCGTGAGTTCAATCCCTGGTACCAATAAAAATGAAAAAGATTTTTAAAAAGCCTTTTACACTATTGAGAATTTACAAAGAATAGCTTTCGGATGTGGAGATAGGTCTTTAGTCAGCTTGTCATTTCCTGTTTAATTGCAGGTATTGAAGGACCATCATCCTTAACAATTTGTGAATATTAACAACAGGATGCAGTTTAGAATTCTTAGTTGATTTTCACTGTTTTAGTTGTGCTGCAGGAGGTAGAAGTAACACACATCTGTAACCCTTGTACTTGGGAGACCGAGGCAGGGGAATCATGAGATCCAGACTAGCCTGGACTACATAGGGAAACCCTGTCTCAAAAAGCCATCAAAAGAGGGAGGGGATTGGACAGCTTCTTTGAGATTGATATACTTTTAGGCCAACCCCTTCCATTGTGTATGGAATGTCTTGTCTTCTCAGAGTACCACACGGGCCTAAAGTAAACAGGAAATTGGAAAGTTGTTAAGACCCATACACAATTTTTACCTTCAGCACTGAGGAATTGAATAGATTAAGAGAAAAACTGCTTTATAAGCCAATCAGTAAAACAAGATACTGTAAATAGACACTGTTCTCCAGAGCAGCGGGACCTGGTTCTCTTATACAAATGAATATCCAGAAGACTAGTGGGTTCTTTAAACTTTGTAATACACAAAGAGCACTTTACAAGTAAAAGGGGATGGTTCTTTTTATATTCAGTCAGTACTTCTGCATACTAAGAAAAAGAAGCCTGCCTTTGTTTTTCTCCACCCATGAAATTGAAGGTAAAATATGTAAACACTTCACAGAAATTGCCTTGGTAATCCTTGGTTGTGGGAGTCAGTTACCAAACCCAGCCCTGTCTTTTCCATGCACGCAGGCGCGATGGCAAGGCTCTGGAGAGGTTCCTGCAGGGTTACTTCGATGGCAACCTGAAGAGATACCTGAAGTCCGAGCCGGTCCCTGAGAGCAATGATGGGCCTGTAAAGGTGTGCCGCCCACAGCCTCCCCATGCCTATCAGCAGCTAACTCCTGATTTCTTTATTTCAAAAATGTTGGAACTAAACAAAGATCTTGTTGGTGTTGACTGAAGGATCAAACCATCCCTGAAGGATAGTTTGTTTTTTGGTTTTTTTGGTTCTCACCTCCCTGAGTCATAAACATTGGCAAAACTTATTACAGTGTTTGGTAGGGGAAAAGAGTAAAAAACATAGAATTGCTGGGTGTGATTACACATGCCTGGTATCACAGCACTCGGGAGGCTGAGGCAGAAAGACTGCCACAAATTCAAGGACAGCCTGAATTAATGGCAAGACCTTGTTTCAAAAAATGCATAACATTTTCTGACAGGAAAAATTGGTAGATTTCCCTGAAAGGTATAGCAAGACAATCTCCTGAGCAGCGTTGTGTTGCTCTGAAATTATTTTAAGGAACAATGAGGTGGCAGTTGTTGTTCCTGTGACTGGACACACTGACAGATGGGAGATAGAAGAATGATTTGGTCACTGGGGAGTGCTAACATCTTGAACAGTCTCTAAATGTGAGTTGAGTTTCCATGGCTTATTCTCAGTGATAACATCAAATGTGAAAGGGTTGGTGCCCAGAAGGAAAGAAAGGTTGTGAATTTGTTCTTCAATGCAGCTTAAAACTAGACAGTTGTCTTTGTGTTTTTCCAGGTTGTAGTAGCAGAGAATTTTGATGAAATCGTGAATAATGAAGATAAAGATGTGCTGATTGAATTTTATGCTCCTTGGTGTGGTCACTGTAAGAATCTGGAGCCCAAATACAAAGAACTGGGTGAAAAGGTAAACCTGAACTCTATTCTGAAGATAAAATCTGAGTTGGGTTAGGGTGGTGCATGCCTGTAATCCCAGCAGTACAGGCTGGGGCAGCTGGGAGACTGAGGCAAGAGAATTTGTTCCCAGGCAGAGCACTTCAGAAAGACCCTGTCTCAAAAAAAAAAAAAAAAAAAAAATGACCAGCATTTTGGTACATGAGAACGCAGGCTGAGGCAAGAGGTTCACAAGTTTGAGTCTACCTTGGACTATATAGTGAAACCTCTTCTCAATAATTAGGTTTGGGGTGCTGAGGATTTAGCTCAGTGGCATAAATGCCTGCCTGGCAAGTGTAAAGTCGTAAGTTCAATTTTCAGCACCAAAAAATTAATAATAATGATAATAATAATTAGGTCTGAGTGTGTGACCCAGTGTGAAAGGCACAGGGGTTCAATCCCCAGTACCACACACAAACACACACACTGAAATCTGAACAGGAAGTTCTTGTACATTGATTTAATTTTATTTCAACTGTTACTTCTCTTGACTGCCCTCTAGTGTCCATGATCTTAGGCTATGTAGTGCCTCAGATGCCCACTTTCAACTTTCCTCTATCTACCTGATGGTTAAAAAATAAAAATTTAACAGTCTGTGAATATTTGTAATGGCTTATGAATCTGTATGTTCCTTCAGCTTAAAAAACTTGGCTTAGCCCTTACATTGCCTTATTCAGGCCAAGTAAACATGATCAGGGTTTTATGTAGTCTTAATATATAGGAGCTAGTATAGAAGGAAGCTGGAAAGTTGACAGATTGAAGTCCTGAATTGACTAAGTGAACCTCAGTAGTCAAAAATGTGGAATATATGGGGCTGGGGATTTAGCTCAGTGGCATAAGCACCTGCCTTGCAAGCAGGCGGTCCTGGGTTCGATCCCCGGTACCGATTAAAAAAAAAATGTGGAATATAAAGGTCTAGCCTTTGCTGAGCTAGGGATGTAGATCAGTGATAGATCTGCTTGCCCAAGATCCTGGTTTGATTCTGAGCACTCAGAGTAAAGTTTTCACTCTTACCTTAACAGCTCAGCAAAGACCCAAATATTGTTATAGCCAAGATGGATGCCACAGCCAATGATGTGCCTTCTCCATATGAAGTCAGAGGGTAAGTGATAAAAAATGCTTACAATTAAATTAGCTAGATGTCTTGCTGATTAATGGGGGAAATGTATTAAGCCACCAGGAAACCCTTTCTTTATTAGATACAGTTTTAGGAATCTTAAATTGAAATTGAGTACAAAAATCACTGATCCTTTCTTGGCTATTCTGCAGTGACCCTACTGCAAAAAGTTTTGTGAGCACTCAGAATTTCTGGGTTTTGTTGGAATATAATTTAGCCATCGATGGAGGATGGTATCTGATCATACTAGAAACCATAATACAGAGAAGTAATTCCCAGAAACAGATACTGGGGGATGTGTGTTAGAACTATTCTGGGAAAGCTGAAATTAGTAAATCCTTCTCTTTTTTTTTTTTCCCTAGTTTTCCTACAATCTATTTCTCTCCAGCCCATAAGAAGGAAAGTCCAAAGAAATACGAAGTAAGTGTATTGGCGCAATATCGCACAAATAACACACATACATCCAGTTCTTGAATTGTGTTTAACTAGAAGTTCTTATGGTAAATACATGTGGTTGCTAATTGCTTTACAAAAAGTCCAAGGTTATTAAAAAAGTTAAATTTTCAAGTCAGGTGTGTAGTACATGATGTGTATTAGTGAGATTATATGAATGAGAGGCTGAAGCAGGAAAATGCAAGTTTAAGGCCAGTCTGGAGAATTTAGCAAGATCAGATTCAGAAAGCGTGAGGATGTAGCTAAGTCATAGAGCATTTGCCAAGTATGTGTGAGGCCCTGGACCATCCATAGCACACCAGGAAAAAAATTTTCAAAGTTATTTTTTTGTTTGTTTTTTAGGGTGGCCGTGAATTAAGTGATTTTATTAGCTATCTACAACGAGAAGCTACAAACCCCCCCATAATTCAAGAAGAAAAACCCAAGAAGAAGAAGAAAGCCCAGGAGGATCTCTAAAGCAACAGCCAAATACACCACTTTGTAAAAGGACTTTTCTACCAGAGATGGAAAACCATTGGGGAAAACTGGGACCCATGCAGGATTATTACCTCTCAGCCTAGAGGACAGAATGGATATAATCTGAATCCTGTTAAATTTTCTCAAAACTGTTTCTTAGCTGCACTGTTACCAGGACCAGTTTATGTTTGTGGTTTTGGGAAAATTATTTGTGTTGTGGGGGTGGGGGGAATTGAGCTGGGGGGTTATTTTCTAATTTTTTTTTTTTGTACATTTGGAACAGTGACAATAAATGAGCCCCCTTTAAACTGTCTTTTCCATGGAATACAAAAACCACAGTCTCTAGACTGTCACCAGTAGCTGCAGTGATGGAAATGTCAGTAATACATGTAATGCATCTATAAGGAGCTGTGGAGCATCTAAAATATGGCTAGAAATCCAAGTGTGGCAGTGCATGCCTATAATCTTAGCACTCAGGAGGCTGAGAGGCAGGATGAGTACTGAATGAGGTCATTCACTACATAAGACCTTGTCTCAAAAAAAAACCCCAAAACAATAAAATATGGCTAGGAACTGCCTTTTAATTTGCATTTTAAAAGCCACCTGATCCAGCACTCTTGGGAGGCTGAGGCAGAAAGACCCTGAAAACTGTGTGACGTGGGGTGGCTGGGACAGTAGTTTGTGCAAAGGCCCTGGGGATGACCCCAGTACTATCCAAAAGACCACATAACAGCTACCATACTGTTTTATAGCTACAGGTATAGAGTACCCTAACACTCCATACTTGTAATTATCTCTCAATCCTTTTGAATTTCTCATCCCTTTATATCCTTTAGCACACGTACTGCCCAGGCTTCTAGGCTAGTGGTTAAAGAGATGAAGGCCTGGCCTTCGGGGCTGTTTCTGGCCTGCTTACCCTTGCTGTACAGCTAGGCGCTCTGCATATTTACACCTCTAAAGTACTGCTTTGCCCAGAAATATTCACACAGGTGTGGCATCAGTTTGGGGTTCCATCCAAGTTGTTTGAGGAATTGCTGACCTGTTGGGTGCAACCCTCTCCCAGAGCCCAGGGTGTGATCCATTCCCTCTCCTAAAGTATCTTTCTTTTTCCAACAGTGAACAAAGACAAGACTGGAATCTCCTTTTATCAAAATGTACTAAGCCATTTCCTGTTCATAGTTAAATCCAGGTCCTGTCCATAGTTTTCAGCCAGTGGATAATTCCAGATGGCCCTAATTTTAAGTAATTATAAACTCTTAGGGTCAGAAAGAACTTTCTTCCTACTGTGATCACTAGTCATCAATTATAAGGTGGACTGGAGCCAGGCATCATGGAACACCCATGTAACCCCCACAGCCTGGGAGGCTGAGGTGAAAAGGTTGCAAGTTTCGGGGCTGGGGATTTAGCTCAGCGGCATAAGCGCCTGCCTTGCAAGCAGGCGGTTGTGAGTTTGATCCCTGGTACCGATAAAAAGTTTAAAAAAAAAAAAAGTAGATGTAGCTCAGTACAAAAGCCCTGGGTAAAATCCACAATATTACATTAAAAAGCAAATCCCATAAGGATTATGAGTAACGGTTTAAAAAAATTAAGGTAAACCAGGCATGGTGGCACTGGGGCAGGAGGATTGCAAATTCAAGGCCAGCTTGGACTGCAGACTGAGAACATCTCAAAAAAACAAAAGTGGAGGCTGGGGATTTAGCTCAGCGGCATAAGTGCCTGCCTTGCAAGCAGGCAGTCGTGAGTTCGATCCCCGGTACCGAAAAAAAGACAAAAAACGGTTGGGGCTGTGTCATACTGCTTGCCTGGCCTCCATGTGGCATCCTGTCCTCACTACTATGCAAAAGAACAAAAGGTGTATGCCATAATTTTAAAGACTAATTCATAACATCCAGGCTGGAGATATTTTTTCTAGAGCTCCAGGAATAGTTCACATGTACAGCTGCCAGGGTTAAGAACCAATGCCTTAGAGGATTTAAGGAAAATAAACTTGTACAAAAGACACAAAAGCAGTTTTACTTTGCTATGTTCGTAAAAGAATCTACCTTTAGTACAGTACATGGGTAACCACCTGAGCCCTTTCCCATTGTATACAGGTATGCTATAAGGTTTTGTTTCTTGGTTTTTTATCTTTTTGAGACACCGTCTCACTTTGTAGTGCAGGCTAGCCTTAAACCCACTAAGTAGTCCAGGCTGGCCTCCAACTCAGTGATCCTCCTGCCTCAGCCTCCCAAGTGTTGGGGTTACAGGCATGCACCACCACACCCGGCTACAAGTTCCTTTTGATTTAATAAAAATCCCCTCCCCCAAGATACTAAGCTAAATTCACTTAGTTCATTGATACCCTCAAGGTATCTTAACCTGGAAATAATGTCATTTCCCAGGATTTAAAATGATTTGGCTGAACTAATGGTGAAACAACCAAGTCTGCTACAATCCCTCATCTGGACACATCTGAGGAGCCTTGGCACTGTGCCCACACTAAAAAAAACAGCAAGAATATCACACCTCAAGAACCTAGAGCAGCTTTCTACTTGCCTCTGAACTCCCCGCCTAAGAACAGCAGATAGTTGCACTCTAGTTTTATAGCTTCGTGGTTCCTATCTCACCAAACAGAGGTTCAAGAGGCCTTGACAGCCTCAGCTGCCCCAGTTCTTTCCCTCAGACTCCAGGATAAGACTTTTTATGTGGGACAATTTCTGATGCAGGTATTCACAGCGATGCTTTTCTTCCTTGTAACCTGGGTATCGCTGCAGGGGGAAAAGCATTCATATCAGAAAGTAAACACTTGATTTCTGTTTTCTTGTTTCTGTTCTCAGAACTTATTTTACCTTTCTGAACTTTTTATACTCCTGGACTATTTTATCTTCCAGCACCTAAAACAAAAAATAACTACATTTAGTTCAACAGTACAAAATCAGGGAGGTAACTCCCCTCATTCTACCTAATGACTCTAATTTTTCTGCCAGAACAGGTCTGCTTGTCACTGAACAACTGAACAAACAGACTTCTGGGTAGTCAGCAGGAAGATAATGGCTATCGAGGCTGACAGCCTGGGTTCAGCCCTACCTTGTGTTCTGGAGTTCCTGGTTGAGCTCTCTTGATCTCTGCTCCCAGCTCAATGAACCTTTGGCTGGCAGCCCCAACCCGGGCATGGAGGATGCGGTACTCAGCATAATCTGCCTCGAAGTCTTGTTCGTAGGCCCGCTGCTGCTCGGTACTGTGGATCGTCTTGTATTGCCTGCAAAGGAGAGTTGTGGCTTTCAGGTTTATCATGCCCAAGTTCCAGGCTTCCCGTAAATTTGAATGTACAAGGCTTGATGACATTGGAAATGCAGGGAACTCACAGGAGGTAATCTGGCACCTCTTCGGGGTTTGGGGATTCAGAGTCTAGAAGAACCAAAACAGATGTGATTGCAGTTCTGTTTTCCACAGAGGCATTTTTAGCCTCCTCCCATTAACTCACCTGCTTGCGCTGAGGGACTGTGCTCCAGCCTGGGGCCTATACTTTCATCTTTATCTTCTTGTTCCCAGTCTTCCTGTAAGTCCTGACTGGACAGCCCTTGCGGGGGGCTTGGAGCTGGAGACAGAATTCTGAGTCTCTTCTCTTCTAGTTTTTCAGTGTCTTCTGGTGCCAGACGTTTCTATTGAGGAAAGTACCCATATGAGATAAATAGCAAACCAGAGGCTTCCTATTGTGTCAAATTCCTATTGTCTCAAAATTTCTGGCTGTATACATAATCAGCTCCCAAATTTTAGCTTGCCTATGCTCTCTGAAAACCTTTGCATTACATCTGACCTTCTCCAGACGCTTCTGGCCAGCAGAGGAAGGCAGCACCTGATCAGGCTCTTTGTTTGGAAGATGGTTCTGCTTCCTGGGATATTTGACAAAGGAATGGCAGAGACAGAGATCAGAGTAGGAAGCAGGCCTCACCTAGATCATTCACCAGCCTTAAAGGGTGGAAATTAGACCAAATCTTCCTGGGTTAGTCCTTCCCTGTCCGCAGTACCTCACTTCCCACTCTGCGGGCTGCTCCCTCAAAGATCCTGGGAGTAGCTGTCCTTGGTTGCTGGCCAGTGGATCTGACACCTGGTGGGAACAGTGCAGGAGCTCTTGACTCCCCGAACTTCAGGCTTTGCCTGACCTCAGCAGCTCCCTGCAGTTTCTGGCCTCACCTCTTCCAGTGCTGTCTGTGGCTGTGACAACAGCACATCTCTTTCAGAATCATCTCCCGTGTTCCGCCAAGCTTGGGGATCCCCGCCTTCTTCAGTCACGTAGTGTCCCTGGGCTGAGGATGGGGCTGGGATGGAATCCGTGGCTGCCCAAATAGTGAGGCGCTCCCTGAGTGGGCCGAGGCAGTGAAGGCGTTGAGCACCGGATCTGGAAGAAAGTGGAAAACCCAGGAGGCTGGAGAGCTTTTCAGCGCCTCTTCGCAGTCCCCTTCCCTACTGAAGTCTGCGCAACCCTGTCTTACCTGCTGCCTGTCCCTTACCTGTCTACGCGTTGGCACACGAGGTCCAACTCACCGCCAGCACCATCCTGGCCACACTGGGACACTACGAAGGAGAACAGGCAGGACCAGCCAGGGCCTGCGAGCCTCAGGTACTAGGGTGGAAGGAAAAGGACGCCTGCAGAGTCAGACACACCGGAGGGGCTCCCCCGGGGCCCGTCAGCGCCAGGTGCAGCCGCCCTGGTCCCCGGGGCCCCGCGGCACGGCCCCTCCCCCACTGCCACCTGCACCGCAGCGCCTGCCCCCCACCCCCACCCCGCTCCGTTCCGTTCTGCGAACTTCCTTGGCCGGACCTGCCGACCCCTTCCTGGCCGGGTAAAGCGGACCGGCACTCACCCCTCGGGGGCCCTGGAAGGCGATCACAGGCCGGACCTGCGGGAGAGAGCGGCGCGCTAGCCGGTCCCTGGGTGCACGCGGGCCGGGAGCCTGCAGGCCCCTCTCCCGCCGAGGTGGGGTCGCGCGGGCGCGGGACGCGGGGCGCCGGGTTGCGGGTGGGGCCGGGCCGCACCTGTCCCCGTCGGCCTCCCTGCAGCGCCCGCAGCGCGGCGGCGTCAAGCCGGAGCAGGAGCAGGCTGGTCCGGCTGGCAGGGGAGAAGCTGAACCGCAGCGCCCCGCGCAGTGGGTCCGACGGTCGCTCCATGGCGCAGGCAGCACCTGCAGCACCGGCTCCTCCGGGCACCGAGGGCAGCACCTGCAGCACCGGCTCCTCCGGGCACCGAGGGCAGCACCTGCAGCAGGGCTCCTCCGGGCACCGAGGGCAGCACCTGCAGCACCGGCTCCTCCGGGCACCGAGGGCAGCACCTGCAGCACCGGCTCCTCCGGGCACCGAGGGCAGCACCTGCAGCACGGGCTCCTCCGGGCACCGCGGGCAGCACCTGCAGCACCGGCTCCTCCGGGCACCAAGGGCAGCACCTGCAGCACCGGCTCCTCCGGGCACCGAGGGCAGCACCTGCAGCAATGGCCTCCGCCCTGCCCTGCCCCGCCCCGCCCCGCCCCATCTCAGTCCCCGCGGGCGGGGCCTGACTCCGGCATCCCTGAGGACCCGGGCCTCTGAGCCTTGTCCAGCCCTGGGCCTCACCAGGCTTTCGGAAGAGCTGCCAAGGTTAGGGGACACAGAGTCTGCAGCCACCGTCCAACCCCTCCCCAGAAGCTTCAGTCCTGCCTCAGTTTCCCCAGCCGACTTTGTACTCAGTGCTGCCGTCTCTAAGTGAAAGCTGGACCCAGCCCCAGGAAGTTCAGGCTCAGAGGACGGGGAGATGACGGATTGGTTGAGCCCAAGACGAGAGGAGCCCGGGAAAGGCAGACCTGCCGGCCCTGGGAAAGCCTGTTTCCACCGAGGCTGGAGTAGCTGGCCTGATGGCGCGGGAGGTGGTGACTAGCAGCTGGCTTGCCGCTTCCCACCCACCTACCTAGGTGGCTCCTGTAAATGACCAGGGCTTCCAGAGGTGCAGACCCAGGAGCAGTGAGAGCAGAAACCTGTCCATCGATCCATTGATCCATCGATCCATCGGGCAGCCCCCTTGGTATTGCCACTTGTTCCTTTGTTTCACGTCTCAAGAACCCTGAGAATTTTTTTTTTTTTTATCAGTACCAGGGATTGAACTCATGACCACACGCTTGCAAGGCAGGTGCTTATGCCACTGAGCTAAATCCCCAGCCCTGGGATTTTTTTTTTTCTAAGCAGGATCTCACTGTTCATTCTCTGGATCTGCATATTTCCTGACGACCTTAATTCTATCCGCTCTGAGTCAGATCACCTGTACATTTGTCAAAACTCATTAAGCAGCACACTCAAAATGTGTGTTGAATGTAGATTATACCAGAGTAAAGTTGATGTTTAAAATCAGTGCAATAAAGCACCAGCTCCAAACACAAAAGAATTTGCGTTTCCATCAAGGGTCTCTGTTTCTCTGGGGACAATTTGATAAGCAGTTGTGGCAATGAATAAAACTGTTATCCTCAGATGACAGCTGTGGCCTTATATATATAGGATTTTCCTAGGTTTAAACTCAGAGAGACTAGAATGGCAAAATTTTAGAAGAAACTGGGTAGTGTGGAATTAGGGAGCTGAGATGGAGGGATGCCCTGAGCCCAGGAGTTCAAGACCAACCTGAATGAAGGGGGTGAAGTGCCACACTTGATCTAAGCCAAAAGGCTGAGAAGCGATGGATGGATGCTATAAGAACAGGTAACTGTGAAGATACTCAGAGAAGGACAGAGATAGGGATCTAACATTTGTTATGTGTCCATTGGGTGTCAAGAGCTTTGTTATTTAATACCTACAATATCTTTTTAGAGTAGGATTTGTGTTAGCTTTGCCTCATTGTGAGCAAAATACCTGGGATCATCAAAGTAAAAATTTATTTTGGCGTATGGTTTCAGAAGTGTCCGTCTCTGGTTCCTTGGCTCCATTAGTTTGAGTCTGTGGTGGAGCAGAAACATCATGGTAGAAGGTTATGACAGAAGAAAGCTGTTCACCTTTTGGTGACCTGGAGAGTGGGGAGCCACAGAGAGAGGAAGGGGCCAAGAAGAAGACACAACCCTCCAAGGCACACTTCCAATGACTCTTCCTCCTGATAGCTCATTCAGCTATGAACTTATCAATGGGCTAATCTTTTGATAATGTATCACCCTTGTGATCTAGTCACCTCCCAAGGCCCCATCTATGAACACTGCTGCATTGGAGATTAAGCACTCAATATATGAGTTTAGGGAGGACACTTTGCATTTAAGCCATAACAATATTATCTACATTTTTTGTTCATTTATCTAATGTTTACTGACCATATTTGCTGTACCAGGCACTATACTAGACACTTGTTACATCATTAATGACACTACTGCTTTGGGAAAAGTTACATTCTAGAGGGGGAAGGAAATGCTAGAAATAAACATTAGAAATATTATGTTGTAGAACTGGGCATGGTGATATGTGCCTATAATCTCAGCTCTCTAAGGGTCAAGGCAAAAGGGTTGCTTCATGTTCCAGGCCAATCCAGGTTTTATAGTGAGTTCAAGGCCATTTTGAACTACAGAGTGAGATCTTGTCTCAAAAAACAAACAAGAAGCCTGGTATGGTGGCACAACCCTGTCAGTACAGCACTTGGGAGGCTGAAGCAGGAGGATCACCATGAATTCAAGGCCAGCCTAGGCTAACATGGTGCAAAAATAGTCTGATCTGAGGCAGGGATTTAGTGCAGTGGCACAAGTGCCTGCCTGGTAAGTGTGAGGTTGTGAGTTCAATCCCCAGTACTGCAAAAAAAAAAAAAAAAAAAAGCATGATCCATGTAGTAAGATCCTGACTCAAAGAAAAAAATTATGATATATTATAAGCACCATGGGCGGGCCTAGCTAACTAAGTGACTTAGCAAGACCCTGTGTGTCAAGTTTGTTTCTTTTTGTATTTTTAATATTTTAAAGAGTTGGAGGCTGAAACCTAAAGGAGAGGTTTATTTTGGCTCACCGTTTCAGGCCATGGTTGCCTGATTCTAAGGCAGATTCTAAGGATGGCAGCGGGTCACGCTTGAAGGCAGCCAGAGAAAGCAAAATCAAGGATTAGAATACAGTTTTCCAGGTCGCATCCCCAGTGACCCACCTACCAGCACACTGAGCAACTGAACTCATCAATGGATGATTCACTGATAAGGATGGTGCACCTGCAATCCAATTACGTTTTTCAGCACATGAGAATTTGGGGGGGGACATTTTACATACAATTTAATCATACTCCTATGGAGACAGTTGAAAGCTTGCTGCTTGGGGCTGGGGATTTAGCTCAGTGGCATAAACACCTGCTTTGCAAGCGCATGGTTGTGAGTTTGATCCCCTGTATCAATTAAAAAAAAAAAAAAAAAAAGAAAGCTTGCTGCTTAGGTTTGTAAACTGGGTAGTTTTAAGCATAGACAGTATTTAGAGCCAAGAGATAGAAAATCAGAGAAAAGCCTGTTTAGACCCTGGGGCCTCCATCTCTGGAAAGAGATCAAAAAGAAGAAAAAGTAAAGCTAGCTGGGTGTGGTGGCTCATGCCTCTAATACCAGCACTCTAGAGGCTGAAGCTGGAGAATTGCCGTGAGTTCAAGGCTAATTCGAACTACATAGCAAGATCCTGTCTCAAAAAGAAAGAAAGAAAGAAAGAAAGAAAGACAGAAAGAAAGGAAAAAGGAAAACTAGTTGAGAGATGACAAATGAGGAAAAAAGAAAACCCACAATGTGACGTCCTAAAACCCAAATGAATGCCTAGCACATACAAGGCCCCAGGTTCCATTCCAGATCAGAAAATAAAGTGAAAAAATGTTTCAAAGAGAAGGGAGTAGTTCACTGTGTTAAATGCTGTCTGTAGGTCAAGCAAAATGAAAATTAAGAATTGAGCATTGCCTTAAAATGTGTTATGTACCTGTACCAACTCCCCATGGTAAATGTAGACATTGTGTAAAGCAAACATGGATTAATAAAAATTCAAAAAAAGAAATTGCCATCCGGCATGGCATTGCACACTTATAATCCCAGTGCTTTGGAAGGCTAAAGTAGGAGGATCCAAAATTCAAATCCAGCCTGTGTAATTTAGAAAACTGACAAGACTGGTCTCAAATTTATTTATTTGTTGGTATCGGGGATCAAACTCATGACTCTCACTTGTCAGGCAGGTACTTAGACCGCTGAGCCAAATCTCTGCCCTCCTGCTCCCCTCTCTAATTTATTTATTTATTTATTGGTACCAGAGACCAAACTCAGACCTTGTGCTTGTCAGGCACTTATACCAGCTGAGCCAAATCTCTGTCCCCCCACCCCTGTCTCAAATTTAAAAGTGACTGCGGTCATATGTCAATGTGAAGATTGTAAAATCAATCCCCAGTACTGCCAAAAAAAGAAAAGAAAAATCATTTGACCCTTGCAATTAAAATGTTCTTAAATTCACAGTGCTGATGATTATATATTAGCCAATCTACTAAAAATTAATAAGCTATAGACTATACTCCAGATGGGTAAATTTTATGGTATATTTATTATACCTCAATTAAAATGTTATTTTAAAAACTGGATAGCCAAGGGTGGTGGGGCAAGCCTGTAATTTCAGCCCTCAGCAGGCTGAGACAAGAGGATTGCTGTGCATTCAAGGCCAACCTGGGCTGCATAGTGAATTTAAGGTCAGCCTGAAATACATAGTGAGACACTGTCCTGTTTTTGTTTTTGTTTTTTTAAAAAGGTGTCACTTGTGGTGGTGCACACCTGTAAGGGGGAGGCTGAGGCAGGAAGTTCCAGTTAGTTAGAGGTCAGCCAGTGCTGCTTAAAAAAAAAAAGTCCTGCTTTCTCTCCCAAACGCTGCAGAGGTTGTGTGTGCGAGACCTGTGGCTATCATCCCACCCACATGCATTATGAGGTTTACTTGCCAGTGACCCTTATAGGCAACCCCTCCCCAGCACTGAGGATATCAAGAAAATCCTAAAAAGCCTGAATATCTAGGTAATGAGCTGAACAGGAAAACCCAGAAGATGTGCCTTACCCGCTGGCAGGGCTGGCGGCTCTGCCTCCCCTGCTCTATAGCTGCAGATGCTGGCTGAGCAGGGATGAAAGAGAAGGAGCCAAAAGATCAGATGATGACATAGAATTTGACCTATTTTATCACGTTCCTTCCCCTCTGAAAATAGTCATTAAGTCATTAAGACATTAAGTCTCTCTTTTTAAAAAATCCTAAACAAGTAAATAATTGGAACATTTTAGCATTGAAGGAGGCTGACCTAAGAAGATCACTAGGCAAACACTAGTGAGTC